AAGGTGAGCACATTCGGAGTTTAGGAGTTTTAGGATGTGGAGCTTCGGTTTGCTAGAGTTTATCATGCACAGAGGTCACCCATGGAAGGGCCCTTGATGATGGCATGGCTCCGGTTTCTGTGTAGCTAAAGTACTCGTACCATAGGTCGAGTTCTGGGCAGTGCAGTGCTTGTCTTGTGTTTTTTGGGTAGTCTGCCCTATCACTGATACCCTGGCGATCAAAATGGACCAAAAGCCTTAAATAGTATGGTCCTTGAGCCCAAAAGCCTTAATATATGCGTCTTTAGATCCCTAGCGATAGGTGAAAACCGTGGTTCTTTCCTCCTTCGTTCATGTGCTGGAAGATACATGCGTTGAAATGTGGTCAGGCATTTGGAAATTCGGGGAGCTTGGGGTTTTACTATGGCGGCCTACATAATTACCGATCTTATTCCTTAGGGCTTAGGGTTCCTCATTATAAATATACTATAAAGGAGCCCAAAACCGTCTCCTAATTATTAAGGCCCTTGTAGTGCCAAAAATGGGTTCTATGCTTTGAGGTTTCGGGTTTAGGGTGCTGTGAGTTCAGGGTTTTCACACTTAGTTTGGTTCTAGATCTTCGGGTAGCTATTATGCTAGGGTCGTAAAGGGCTGATGTGAAGAGCCCGAGACAAAGAACTTCCTCTAGCTGACTGGGCTTCTCAACCCGAAATCCGATACAGCCTAGCCCTAAAATCCCTAAACCCTTATAAATTATAAACCCTAAACCCTACACGCCTAAACCCTAAACCAGGATTTCGGGGTGGCCCGAAGCAAAGCCGGCGAGCACCGCGACAGACCCTGGAGGACGGACCACGTCACTTCTTTTGTGGCTTCGGGGTCTAGGGCTTATCGGCTTCAAGTTTTAGGGTTTAGGCTTTAGGGTTTAGGGGTTGCTTTAGGATTTGGGGTTTAGGCTTCAGGGTTAAGGTTTCAGGGTTCAGGGTTGAAAGAAGCGACACTTTCAACGACGGGCGTGATAGTTTCAACATAAGTGCGCCATGTGTGCGCCCAACTCAATGTGGCTTTTCTCTATTTCCTGCAAGGGATGTCTCATATTTCGAACCCTTATTCACGTCCGACTTAAACCCTCAGCCTCAACATAGAGTGGGACCACATGGAGGGACTACGTAACGTCCTTCCCAAGCTCCCGAAACACAGAGGTCCGAATAGTTAGTAGTGACATTCAGTTAGCGCTATATAGTCCCTAACATCGGTAGGCTATACCATACTTGGAGGTTTATGGGTAGTTATAAGTAGAGTTATAATTAGGGTAACTATACTTATAACCCATATATTAAGGGACTTATGACCCCACTTATAACTATCCCTGAACCTCCAAGTACACCCAAGCTCTAGTCACTCTAGCTTTAATTACTCAGGCCTCTATATTGTCAGGCTTCGTAGGAATTGCATTTGAAAGTTACAGGTTTACTACGTCCCTAGCAGATGGAACCGGCCTCAAGAATTAGTCGGCAATACAGTTATTAGGCTTTAGGGCTCGGGCTTCAAGGTGTGGGGTTTGGTTGGGTTTAGGGTTAAGGGGTTAAGGGTTTAGGGTTTAAAGCTTGGGTTTAGGGGGGTTTAGGGTTTAGGGTTGAGGGGGGGTTAGGGGTTTCAAACTTTTTGAGGTGTAGAGCTTATGGGCTGTAGGGCCATCCCTGTAGAGCTGCATGTCAGTTTGCGACAGAGCCTCTTTCGGAGGGTTTAGGAGCTTCGTGTTTAGAGTTTGGGGCTTCGGGGTTTAAGGTTCAAAGCTTGGGGCTTCTAAGGCGTAGAGTTTAGGGTGTTATGGTTTGTGGGGTTTTGGGCTTCAGGAAAGCAACACCCTCAAACCTCCAAGCCCGCAAACAGCGAACGCTGAACCCTCAATCCGGACCACAATGAATTCTCAATATCCAACCCGAAGCCCTGAAACGAATAGGACAGCACAACTAGACCCAAAGCGCATCCGTACGACTCCTAAGAATGGCAAATGCCAAAGCCTGAACCCGCAACCCTATACCTTACTTGGAGGGGCAGGGGACTTAGTAAGTATGGTTATATAAGTAGACTTATAAGTACCCTAAGTGGACTTACACCAATTATAACCCTACTTATAACCCTACTTACTAAGTCCCCTGCCCTTCCAAGTAATCTACCAGAACCTACTTTGTCTAGGGTCCCCATGAATGCCCGATTTAGGCTTATAAATAAACAAAACCCTACAACAAAAAATGAGCTTTGGTAAAAAAGCTATTAAGACCCCAACCGCCTTTCCCCCCTACACCCACAACCCTAAACCCTCAAACCTTGAAACCCTGACCCTTAACCCTCGAAGCCCTATAAACCCTAAACAACTAAACCCTAAACCTTAAACCCTACCCGCAAGCCCTCGAAGCCCAGAGGAGTTCGTAGCGGAAGCAGAGTCGCAGGGCATCGAACCGAACTATGACGAGTTTAACTTTGAGGACCGGGCCGTGCCTCCGAAGTTTCATGGGTGCTACTTGTAAAGCCAAAACATAGCACCTCAACATAAACTCCTGAAGACTTACCGCCAAAGAAGCTCATGTTTAGGGGCCATTAGGGGCCTGTTAGTGCTCCTATGGCAGTGAGTTTAGCTTCTTGACGCTGTTGGTTTGCTTGGGACTTAGTAACAAGGGTTCCTCAGAGGGCTCCCTAAAATGGATCTGTAAGGGCTTTATAGAGGGGTTTAGGATCTATTGAAAGGGTCATCGGACGTAGTAAGTGGGGTGCGCATTAGAGTATTCTTGGAATTACGTATAACCCCAATTTAGGTACTTATAACTTTCAACCATGCTTACTTACTAAATTCCGTGAAAATAATCCCTACCTGTAGCCCCAAACAACACACCATATGTAGCAGGTTATGACCCATCCTGCTTTTAGGGTATAGGTTCGTTTTCTAGGTTTTTGGACCCAGGGGAACCTTTTTTTTCTTGACCTAATCCGTAGGCTTCAACTAATAATATAGGGGCCTACATTATTGCCTATACTATTGTGGGAGGTCCTTGTTGAAGTTCATAGTATATTGGGCCCCCAAGCCCCTATTCTAATTATAAAGGCCCCTATATTATCCCAAAAGAATTTTGCATGGTACTGCAAGGATCCAAGCACCCGAAGAGTATTGTTTCAGCTGCCGACAGCCACGAAGCGTATAGTGTTTGGGACATACTAGTTGGGTACTTGGACCCGAGATCCCTTGTTGGAAATGTTTATACACGCCTTACAGATTTACAAATCCCAAAACGTAATCATACTGGCGCAGTTTGATTAGGTTTTGAAGACCCCGAAGCAGGATGAGTTGGACGACGAAGATTCGAGCTTCTGCTGGACAGCCAATGTAGCTCGGCCTCGCGGTGCAGGATTTTTGGGGTTTCGGGGATCTATGGACAAGTTTGGGGCTTGGCGGCTAGGGCCTCCTACCCGCGCTTCTTCCGAAACCCCAAACCTGCACCGACCAGGCCCCCCCACCCCAATTTCAATCTTCTTGTGGGCAGGTCCCTAGACTGGGACCCCTTCTTGTAGTAAGGCACCCTTATAAAAACCACAGTCAAACCTTGTCCATCCCACGAACTAGTTAATATGACCTGTAAAGAGCTGAAACTGCTTAAGCGAAAATTCACACCGCCAGGGCGTACCATACTGTATAAAAAAGGACCCTAAAAGAAACCCCAAGATAGAGAACTACCCATGCACACCAGCGTGCAAGTAATAGTACCCTCGACCCATGTACCATGAGTGGTAGTCGGATCTCTTGGGCCTCAAGCCCTTTAGGGTTTAGGATTTAGGGGTTCAGGGTTTGGAGGTTTAGAGTTGACCCATGCTTTGAGTTGAGGTTATGAGTCGCCCCGAAGTGCGGTTGCCCTACCCAAAACCCTGTTACTACATCCAATGATATTCCGAGCACCCAGAAACAGGTTTGCATTCATAAAGTGGACGTGCTTCATTTAAAGATGCGATGTTAGGGAGTCGTTTCAACCAACATGCTTCCCCCATTCTGGTTAGGTGACGAGTTGGCTGTGACGAGTTGGCTTCCTTACCAAAACCTCGTAAGGCCCTTCCGACAGCACTTATGGAACCCTTTTCATGCCCAGATCAATTCGACGAACCCTTAACCCGGAACACAGAAGCTCTCCAATACCCTACACCTTAAACTGCAAAAACCCTAAAGCCCGAAAGCCCTAAACCCTAAAACACTGAAGCCCTAAACTCAGGTGACACAGGGAGGCATCTACACTGCTAGCACCGTGGCGAGATCGACGAGGCTCCCGGCCGAAACCCTGCGGCCGTGACCGACCCAATAGGTGTTCGGCTTTGGGGGCTCTCGGGTTATGTCTTTGTTTTTTTGTTGTTTTTGTTATCTTGTTAGTGCGTGAGTACAATTTCCACATTTTTGGGTAATATTATAACACTTGTGGAACTGATAGTTTGCATTTTCCTGGGGCTTATGAAATCCGCAGTTCGGAAGAGTGTTGGCTTCAAAAGGGTGGGGCTTGGGGAGGGCTGGGAGTTAAAGATGAGGGTTGAGTGGCCTTACATACGTTCTCATAGGGTTCTGTGGCTTTGCATGACGGTGTGGGTTTCGGGATTGGGTTTCGGATTTAGGGTTCATAGGGTTTGGGGTTGAGCTGTCTTGCAGGAGCTTTTGGCAAGTAGCATAAGGCAGACATTGAAAGCCCAAAGGCGACCGCATCTGACATGGATTTAGAGTTTAGGGTGGATTTCCCACACATCCGCACGAGAAGAAGCGGTGTTCGCTCTTGCATTGGCTTCTTGCGGGTTCGCATGGTAACCTGGAGACACCGGGCAACAAAAGTACTTTAAACTTTAAACCCAACCATCACCCGGTAAAGCCTACCTGTTTGATCTTGTTTTTGGGTCTTTCTTGTTGTTTCAACAGTTCAGTGCTCTACAAGGTACGTAATTTCTGAGGTGAGGTAAACTCTAGAGCAAGCGGCATCGTTGCGAGGGCCTGGGACATGCGCTTCGCACAGCTCAGTGACATTGCCGGCCCCCTTGGCGACTCGCTTACTACTTAGACCTTTCCTGTTTAGGGCTATGGAGTTTTGAACCTTTTTAATTGAACGGTTTTATAGGGTCACTTTAAGCGTTACTCCATTTAGACTCTCGGTTCTGGCACTTTGTTTGAGATAGTATGCTTCAGGGGTAGGGTAAAATCCCACAACAAGAAAGATCGTTGCAGGGTGGAACAAGCCTACAGGTTTCTTAGGGGTACTTAGATTTTTGTTTTTAATGTTTCGTTTTTATGATCCCTAAGAAACAGCTAAAATTATATGTGTTGCTAGGGTTCGAAGTTCAGTATAGATTCGGTGAGAAACCCTGGGCTGATGTGTACGGCCCTAAGATTTGAAATACCATAGAAACTAAGAAGCAAGCACAAAAACGAGCACACAAGTGTGCATGTGTACATACTTATACAGATACATATACAGATACATATACATAGACATAGACATAGGCATAGACCTGAACATAAACGTAGATTTAGTCATAGACGTCTGCATCTACATCTAGATCTACATTTACAAATACATTAACATATTCATGTGCATATGCATATACCTATCCTATACCAGTTTTGTACATATACGTATACATATACCTATACCTATACCTGTACCTCTACCTATACCAACCTATACCTATGCCTCTACATATACATTTGCATGTACGTGTACATGTGCACATACACATACATCTACATAGACACGGACATAAACATAAACATAGATATAGACATAGACGTCTACATTCACATCTACATCACACCTACATCTACTTTTACATGAAACAGCGCCGACAGCACGTCTACATCGAAATTTGTGTGACCGCATAAAGGGTTCCAGAGGTATGATAGTGATAGCAGAGTTGGGGAGACGGCAACCGAACAACACCTACATCAAAAGAGTACTTGAAAGAGCCACCCCTAAGCCTAAACCCTGGACCCAAGCCCTAAAGCATATCCTGTAAAAGGACTAACCCAGAACCACTTATAGATATTGAGATGCAGAAAGGCTGATATGAAGTAGGGTTTACAGTTTTACATGAGGGTTTTGCTGAATGTCGATAGGGCTCCTGTGGATATAGGTATTTGATGAGAGTCTATAGGGCGGGGTGTTCTGCGGGGAACTTGAAACTTCGAAGACTACTTCATGTGCATTGTGTTCAGGGTTTAGGGTTTAGGGTTTAGGGTTTAGGGTTTAGGGTTTAGGGTTCAGGGTTTAGGGTTTAGGGTTTAGGGTTTAGGGTTCAGGGTTTAGGGTTTAGGGGTTTAGGGTTTAGGGTTTTAGGCGGGCATGGTTGGTCTGGCAATCTATAGTATGGTCCCCCTATGGTATACACTCGAAATTCTCGTGAGGGTCGCCACTGTTGTCTCAAAAGTGATCAAGCAAACACCCATTGACTGAAGGTCCTTTGCCCGTTTCCTGGTCCGAATAAAATAATACTGCCACGGTTAGGCTGTAGGGTTCTGGCTTCGGGGGGTTTTCGCATGTATCGTCTAAAAGTTTAGGCTGTCGTAGGGCTGCGGCCTTCTATGATGGCTTTCGCAGAATATCTTAGGCATCACCTGGTCATGCGGCTCAACTGCCTACCCACTGCATGCCTAGGTCTACTTGGAGGGGCAGGGGACTTAGTAAGTATCGTTATAAGTAGATTTATAAGTACCTAAGTGGACTTACCCCAATTATAACCCTACTTATAACCCTACTTACTAAGTCCCCTGCCCTTCCAAGTAGACCCTAAACCCTAAACCCCATAGATCCCTTTAAGGAACCCTATAGATCCTTTTAAGGAGCCCTTTAAGAACCCTTACTAAGTCCCAAAAGCCCTTCCAAGTAGTGACGGTTTGCCGTTTCATCGATCATTTGCTTCCTTGTCCTGCGCGGCTGCCTGGCAAGGCATGAACGGTATCGTTTAGGGTTTAGGGGTTTAGGGTTTAGGGTTATCGTCTCAAACAGGATCCAAGGGGAAAAGGAGGGACCTTATTATGGGGTCCTTAAGGGGTCCAGGGCCCTAACTATGAGGTCCTAGTTTTGGGGCTCTGAAAAGTATGGTGTCCATCCAAGGGTAAAAGGAGGGACCCTTAATTAGCACCCCTAGATTTCTACCCTTAATATAGCTGTTATATACCCATGATATAGCCCAATATAGGGTAGGGGACATGAACGGTATCGTTTCAAACAGAGCCCCAGACCCTAAGCTTAACCGTAAGCGCTAAAGCAAAGCATCCAGACCTTCCGAAATCCCTGAATTAAGGAATATCGGATCCCCAATATGATCTCTTCATATATTCCTTACTTCAGGGAGTTTGGAAGGTCTGGGTTCATGTGGGATATTGGGGAACGCTTGCTGCACCTTTTCACTGAACACCCGGGATTGGGGCTTACATTGATCACCGTGTCATCAGGTATACTACAGAAATACCTCGAATGCTTGGGCATCCACCAAGTAGGTTAAAGGTTTGGAGCTCTGGGTGAAGCCATTCATGACCAATGATGCTGAACCCTAAGCCCTGAAGCTTTAGCAAAACCTTCTCAGGTGATCTTGAGCATGTCCGGACACTGCTGGGAGCTGGTACGGAGCTGGACGCAAACACCTTGCGCCTTGTCAGCGGAATCAGCTTCCCACTATGAGTGGGGATTATGAGGCCTATGTTGCTCTTAGTAGTAGAGTGGGCGATCTTTAACATTTTTGGGGGGTACTTTAACCTCTGATTATTTAATCCCAAAGGTTAACCTCAAGTTCCTCCAGGATGCTGAACAAATAAGTGCTAGTTAAGATAATACCAATAGCAATAAATGAGAGTAGCAGCAATACTAATGGTAAAAATAATGACAAGAAGAATAATCGGAATACTATTTAAGAACGAATACTAGTAATAGTTGTAGCAGTCATAAGGATATGATATGATGAAGGGCAATGAAGGGTAGTTTGATTTCTACCGGCTTCTCAAAGCTTGGGCTGCTTCAACTATGGCATCTCTCCGAAGTTTCTATGGGGCCGGGGGTGGGGGGGCTGCGGACATCTTCCCTGAGAAGTCGTGAAAATGTGGGGCTGTTGAGCTCGCGCTCGTGCGGTGGTTGATGTTTCCGCTGGCACGATTGCAACAACAACAACAACAACAACAACAACAACAACAACAGCAAAAGCAGCAGTAGCAACAGCACAGCAGCAGCAACAACAGCAATAACAGCAACAGCAATCTGAGCCAGCCAGCAGCTGCAGCGGTTACGATTGGTTTTGTTCCCGATCTGAGTGCTTGAAGCTAGCTTCCGAGCGATGTTGGTCCATGGGCTCCAGCAAAATCATTAATTCCGGTAGGGTGGTGTTTGCGGTTTAGGGGGTTTGGGTTTAGGGGGGCTACTCTGGAGGGTTTGGGATTGAAGGTCGCCAACTTTTTCTTGGCTCGAAGCCGCGAGAGCGCGACACCTCCAACCCGAAGAGGCCAATCAACAGTTTAGTCAGCGTAACGTATGCTTTACGGGCCAAAACGTGCGCGAAGAGCCTACCATACGCATAAACCGCACCCCTAAACCCAACAAAACATAGCCTAAACGCGAGAGTTTCCCGAGAACCATGCCCAGGTACTGGCTGACGGATGCCACGCCGCACGAGTCCATGGTCCTGGAGGAGTCCACATACCGTCGCTTGGTTGAGGGTTTAAAGGTTTACATAGAGAATGATGGGACTTGGCAACTATCGGTTATTGTTGGGGTAACTGTACAGATAACTACCAGCATACCCAGTCGGGGCTCTCATACCCATGCTTACTAAGTCCCATGATCCTCTAATAAGGCGTGTAGGGTTAATGGTGTAACATCTGAAGATCGTCTTCTGCGAAAGTTAATGACCCAAAACCCGACTTTAAGGTTTAGGGCCCGACTTGGAGGGGCAGGGGACTTAGTATGGTTATAAGTAGAGTTATAAGTACCCTTAATGGAGTTACCCCAGTTATAACCCTACTTATTCCCCTACTTACTAAGTCCCTTGCCCGTCCAAGTAAACCCAACACCCTGAAGAGTATCTGAAACAGCTGCAAGGTCAATACTTCCGGCTGGTGACCAGCGAGGCCAGATAGCACCTGGAACCCCAAGCCTCTAAACCCTTAATAAGCCTTAACCCTGGAACCTGAGCCCCGAAGCCTCTATAGACTCCACACCCTAAATGGGGGTTTCCGAAAATAGGGGACCCTAATATAGTACCCAAAATAGTAGGATCCTTATTATAAGGCCCCCAGAAGAAGGTACCCCTAATTTTCGCAAACTACCAAATCCTAAACCCTAGACCCCAAGCCCTAAAACCCTCGAGCCCTTCCTTCCCAGGAAGGCTCATTTTGGGAGGTGCAGTAAATAGCAGGAGCCTGATGGCGGTAATGTAGGAACGTGATTAAGAAACCTTGCATCCTTGTTAGGGTTCTTAAATCCTAATACACTGGGGTTAAAGAGCAAGCGTTTCTTGATCAGGTTCCATTAAGGAGCACCAATCAAGGTAGTGTTTTGTATCTGAAACGCAAGTTTAGGCCATCGAGACCTTGCTAAAACGTATTGTGCATCACGATTCTCTGAGCCGTAAAAAACGCCAAACCGAAACCCTAAGCCCAACCAGCAAAATCGATATCTAAACAAACGTAAACCCTAAGAATCAGAAATGAATGCTTTTCAATACTGCCTCCATGAAACCCTTTGAACTCCCTCTGAGACTCTTCGGCGGAAAACCGAAACCCTAAGCCCTAAATCCTTGCAGAACCCTCAAAGGAACCGTCGAACCTTTCAAGATCGAAGGAACTCTTACAATTAGTAACCTTTACATGGACACTTAAAGTAAAGGATTCCTTCAAAGAAGCCCTGCCCTGCCAGTCTTAAACTTCTCGGCCGCAGAATTCACAAGGGAACCCCTGCAGAACCCTTCGAGTAACCCTTGAAAAAAACCTTGGTACAAACCCTGAACCCCTAAACCTAAACCTTAAACCACAACCCTAAGCCCTAAACCCTAAACCCTAGCCCTAGACTCTAAAACCCCGAACCCCCATACCCTGGACTCTTAACCCGGAGTAGCCTACCTCTTTAGGGACTTAAAAGGAAATGAGAATAAGGATCCCCAAAAAAGGTAGGTTATTCCGGGTTCAGGTAAACCCTAAACCCCTAAACCCCTAAACCCTAAACTCTAAACCCTAAACCCCTAAACCACTAAACTCTAAACCCCAAGCCCTACCCCCTAAACCCTGAAGCCCTAAACTCGTGGAACCAGAAGGTCTCCATCTGGTACAGTGCACACTCCTCGGAGAATCCCACGGGAGTCCGCCCAGACCCGACTCCCGGAGAAGGTTTGGAGGTTTGTAAGTTTTTTGGGTTTCGGGTTTTAGGCTTCGATTTTTGGGGCTCAGGGTTCAGGGTTTTAAGTGGTGGGTTTAGGGATTAGGGTTGAGGGCTTCAGGTGTTTTTTTTTCGCCTTAGCGAGATTGAAGGTTTTAGGTTGGGGTTCGGCCCCCACTCAGTAATAGTTGAATAGTATTCCTTATATACATGAGGACCTGAATAGTAGCCCTATTATAGACTCTTACTGTATGGAGGCCGTACCTAGGTTTTAGGGTTGTCGGGGTTCGGATCCAGGGTTCACGGTTTCTTCAAAGTTTCAGGGTTTGGGGCTTGAGGGTCCAGGGGCTTAGGGTGTAGGGTTTATAGAGTCTAATGATTTAAGCGATTCCATCTAGGGGACTGAAATAAGTGTCGCTTTCCGTGTCTTTAAGGGTTCTGTTTGATTAAGGATACAATATATCGGCCTTGTCATTTTTAACATGGCTTTGAGGCATATTAAAGCATTATTAGAACAGGATTCTAGGGGCTATTGTTTCGGGTTACATGTGCAGACCTCTATGAATTAGGGTTTGGAGTTTGGGGTTTACGGCGTCGGTCTCTACTTGGGCCAAAAGATGCGTGGGTTGTTATTTAGACAGACAGTCTCGTATCCCACCAGAGAATTGAGAAGTTGAGAATTAGGGTTTTGTGTGCGTTGATAATTTGAATAAAGTATCGGAGTGTATCATACAGTAGCAAGCCTGCGGGCATCTTGCTTGCGACTGTGGCAGTCGTATGACTATTACCGCCTACGAGTATTGTAGTTCCTACTTCGGTGTCCTTGGAGTTTAGGTTTCCGGTGACACAGGACTCACGCTTCGAACTACGTGGCCAAGAGCCGTGGTTTAGGGTTTATAGTATTTAGGACCCACAAACCCGAAACCTGTTTAACCCCCAAACCCGAAACACCAGTCCTGGTTCGTTTTCGGAGATGCTAGCTGTCTTCGGCCAAGATACTGCTTTCGGTTTGAAGATAGGCAAACAGGTTAGGACTTAGGCCTTGGGGCTTGTATCCCCAGAGCCTCTAAAACCCTGTAGTCAAGCAATATCCCTGCAACTATAATAGGCATCCTACGATAATCTTGCTTACTTATCGAGTCTTGGAGTCTCTGGGTCCACCCTGCTGTAGCTCCTGTCACTGTCGATGTCATCTCCAGGAAGGTGACGCAGGTCGTCGCTCATGACAAGTTCCTGGACCTTGCACGGCAGGCGGCATCAGCTGTCAGGTTGCTGTGTTCGGAATCGCTCAAAGGACCCTGACGTAACCTTTAACCTTATCTTGGCTACTATAACCCCCATATATCCCCAAAGGTTACTTACCCTTTAGTTCCCCTCATATTCTGGACAAGAGAGGACCTGAATATTGAGAGTATGTTTTCAGGCACGACGGGGATATTCTGGTACAGTGGTCAGATGCCAAACCGTCAAGATTATCCCATGGGTGCTACTTTGAGCACTCTGTGCAAAAGCGGGTCAATGCCATAGATGCGTTGTGATAACCCGTGTTTCAGGGGTACTGAGTCCGCAAGCTTACGGTAGAAAACCTTAACCCAGAGATCCCAATACCCCTTAATTAAGGAATATAGCTTAAATCATAATATGAAGCCCTATATAGTTTAAGCCATATTCCTTAATTAAGGGGTATTGGGCTCTCTGGGAATGCTCAGCCCTCCGTTGTGCATGTTCTAGGAAGCTCGCACCCTCAACGTTTGTCCTGCGCGCTAGTCAACGCAAGTCTAGCTTAGCGCCGAGGGTATGTAACCTTTACCTAGACCCCCAAAAGAAAGCAAATCAATGGCCGACAAACCTATAAAGTTGTAAAGGGCTATTGTTCTGCAAACTTTTGGGGTCCAGGTATAGTAGAAAAACAGTTCTGCAGGTTGACCAATCGGATGATTCAATCGCACTAGCATCTTCCAATCAGGCCCTAAACGACTACCAGGCTTTACCCTAAGGGTCCATGTACCCAAATAGTAGGTACTTTGGCCCTAAAGTACTTAAAGAGGGACTACTTTAAGGCCAAAGTGTAAGACTTTTTGGGTACGTGAACCCTTCGGCTTGGTGGACCGGGCTCGATCATTGCGGCATACACAGACCCTGGCGATTTCAGGCGAGACTCCTTTCAGAATCTGACTTGCGGAAGGCACCTTCTGGGGGCGGGGGGAGGGAAGCCTAAACCCTACCCTGACTGCCCATAAAGCCTCGGCTTTTTCAGGGTCCCCTGTTATGATTTCCTTGTATGAGTCCTAAAACGGGGGTTCAGGTAACTTGAAAACCCTTTTCAGGGTTCCTTGTTCTGATTTCCTTGTATGAGTCCTAATGAACCCTTTTAAGGGTTCCTTGTTATAGGGGGGTTCAAGTAACTCCTCGACCCTTTTCGGGGTTTAGGGGTGAGCACGTCCAAGGAGCTGCGGCCCCTAAGGGTTTAGGTTTCCTCTAAACGGTTCTTCTAAGCTTTCTTTCAGGGTTGAGGGTTCAGAGTCCAGGGTTCAGGGTTCAGGGTTTACGGTGTACGCCCGGAACTTCAAAACCTAAACCCTAAACTACTCTGAACTTGAACCTTAAAACCTAAACCCTCAACCCTCAAACCTAAACCCTAAGCCCTAATCCGTGGCCCGTAAGGTTCAGGATCATGGCCGGCTTCAGAACTTGCAGGTGAAGTTTGAGGTTTAGGGTTTAGGGTTTAGGGGTTAAGGGTTTAGGGGTTTAGGGTTTAAGGGTTTAAGGGTTTAGGGTTTAAGGGTTTAGGGTTTAGCTTCGGACCTTCAGAGTCTGTTTGTCGTAGGGTTCCTACATCACATGCGACAGGTTTGGCAGGATCGCCTGCGTCCCCAAAGCCCATGGCTATGGAGCATAGCCCTATTGGATAAAGGTCAAGCTTTGCAGTTTTCCTGGGTTCAAGATCAACCCTACGCCTTCAACCTTAAACCGTAGACCCGAAGCCCTAAACCCCAGTAGGCTTTATGGAGCAGGGCTTAGCACGAAGGCCCTGAAGCGGAAACTCGATAACACCCTCGCGGTTTGGGGATTCGATGTTCGGATGCAAGATTTTGTGTTTTATGAGATTTACCTAGACCCTAAACCCCTAAGCCCGAACCCCAAACCCTAAACCGTAGGAAACCCAGAAATCTATGATATAGCGTCCAAGGTCCTGAACCCTGTGCTAGCTGTGGAAGTTTGCACCTTTTGTCCAGACTTTGCTACGGCACCCTGCCGTATGGAAACAAACATCCAACTTTCATATCTTCTTCAACTGCTAGTAAGGTGGCAGTACAAAGTAACATGATAACAAGAGTAAGTCATTGGGATGGCAGGTATCTTCCTAAAAGCCCCCAACCTTAAGCCTTACGACCTCAACCCTAAACCTGAAAGCCCTCAACCCTGAACCTCAACCCCTCAACACCTTCAACCCCAGGCCCTAAACCCTGAACCCGAAGCCCTAAACTCCTTCAGCCCTGAACTCCGAAGCCGAAGCCCTAAACCCTATCAACATCCTCGACCCTACACCCGAAACCTGCCCGAGGATGAGGTTTGGGATCTCCATGCCAAAGAGAGGGGCGAGGGCACCGAAGGGGAGGACGCTGGAAACTTCAAGGGTTTTGGAGTTTAGGGTTTAGGGAGTTTAGGGCTTAGGGAGTTTAGGGTTTAGTTTAGGGGCTTAGGTTTTAGGGTTTAGGAGTTTAGAGCTTGGGGTTTAGTTTAGGAGTTTAGGTTTAGGGTTTAGGAGTTTAGGGTTTAGGGTTAATTTAGGGGTTTAAGGCATATAGGGTTTGGGGCCCTGAAGTGGAGGAATATCCTGCAATGGCTCAACAAGGTTTTATATTGTCTTGCTAAGGTTTCAGGAATTTTTCGCTGCCCTTGACTAAGGACAAGTCGGAATGAGAGTAGGAAGCTTTCAACGATTTACTGTCTGGTGCTTAGAAGGGAATCGGGGAGTGGAATATGGGGACGTTTACTATTGGGGTCTACTATAGGGATCCAGTCCCCCATTCCCTACTAAGCACCAGACACGTTAAGCTACCTTTCTTACTTGAGGAGTTATGAAGTCTGAGGGACGCCAGTTTCTTGGGGTTTAAGGCAGTGGCTCGAGACTTTTGAGTAGAGCTTAGGGTTTAATTAGCATCCCCAAACCCTCAACCCAAAAAGTCAGGGAATAGCTCTGTGAATACTACAACCCATAGGGTGGATGAGTGGGCTGGGGTGGAGATTGACTGGCCTTCTTTGAGGGCTGTGTTGTTGAAGTGGACATGGACCCCCGGTGAACTTCTACGTGAGCTTGAAGTCATACTCTGACTTGAGAGGGGAGTTCAGCATTTTTCTGAGAAGGTAGCCCGTTGTGAGCCAGAGCTGGCAACGCCGACACCTTTCAACGAAGTGCAATCAGCACAGACTTGTAGCATGCCTGTAAGCCTGAAAGATTGGGGATGGTACACTAAGACCAACCCTACGCCCTAACCTACTGTTTGCTTAAGAAACCCCAAAAAATAAAAAATAATAATCCCTATATTACCCCCATAAGGAATATACTTTTTATTTTTGGGGTTTCTTAAGCAAATAGTAGTAACCCTCTTCATAACTGAGATGGGCTCTTTGGGCCCATGAACTGCACAACTCAGCGGAAGGCATGACCCTCTTGGACAGCCGGCACCTGGACCTACTGTTGATGGACAAAATCCTGCATTACCCATTATAAGGAATTTAGCGTAATTCCCATAGTTTAGAGCCCTTAGGGTCATGTTGGATTTTGTCCATCAACAGTATCTACCCCAAAGCCCGAACTCCAAACTCAAAACCCAAAGCACCAAAACTGTAAACCCCTAACCCGAAACACCATACCCAAAACCCCTAAACCCTTAACCCTTAAACCCTAAACCCTAAAGCCCATGCCCACAAGCTCTAAGCCCTTGAAAGGAGATTGATGCCCTCCTTGACCGGCTTAAGCTGGACATTCGCTGAGTCGTGTTTGAATCAAAGTGACAGCGCAGGGTCTTGGGGTTGAGGGTAATGTAGAACCTGATTAAGCAACCCTGGGCCTATAACCCCCAAATAGTAGGATTCGTCCAAGGAACCTTACTAAAAGGCCCAAGGTTTCTTAATCAGGTTCCTACATTATTATAATACCCCTATAGATCCCTTATAGTACCCTTATAGATCCCTTGTAGTATCCATTATAGAACCCTTTCAAGGAACCCTAAGGTTCCTACATTATTTAGGGTTTATAAGGCCCAGGCCTCGAGGTCTAGAGCTTTGGGTTTGGGAGTTTCAGGTTTAGGTTTAGGCTTCCGGCTGTGCGTGCGGAGTTTATGATTCGGGTGTACCATATGTCGGGTCTGGGTGTATTGTTTGGTGTGTGTGTGTGAGGGCTCCAAAGTGCCGCACAGCCGAAACCCATAAGTGTAGCCTAAAGTGTGGTGATGCTTGGATGGGTCCTGGAGCCAAGAAACTGAGGCTTTGAAATTTCTGTTGGAGCGCAGAGGTGCGTAAAACTTCTTGTGATTGCTTGCAGTAAGCCAGTAAGCATCATATAGGGACCTTAATAATTTGAATAGAGTTTGCGGGTATATTGTACTATACATATAAAAAGGTACCACCAAAACCCTATTCTAAGTGTTAACGCTCCTACATCATATCCCCTAGAGGGTCCATATAGACTCCAGCTGCGAAATCGGGCCCTCAAAGACAATCCTTATCATGGTTTTCATGGACCCTCTTGGTCCTAAACCTTGCACTGTACTCTTTTCAGCATATTATAAGGTTAGCAGGGTTCATGGTCTAGAAGTTTTGGGCTGTATTGGCTGCTAGCACATATGAGGCTTTTGGGGTTCAAACTAGGTACGTAACTACGAGTAGGACAGACCCGACACACCCGAAACCCCAAATGCTAAGCCAAAATACATGCTCAATGAGCAGCCGGAGCACAGTCATGGACGCTGCCCATCGATTTCGGAGAAAGAGTCTGAGACTTTGACGAGCTCAGCTTTACTTTGTTCCCGTTTAGGGTGTGAGGTGTAGGGCCTGGGGTACTTCGGAAGGGAGCTAGCTTGAACGCGAAGGTGCAAAACTGAGCTCCCTCGCAACCTGGGAGCGGCTGCAGGACAACACCCTACCCTAAGGTTCCATGTACCCAAATAGCATATGTCTTGGGCCAAGTGTACCTATATATAGAAACTACTTTGGAGCCAAAGTATTTCTATTTGGGTACATGAACCCTTATGGGCTGGATATCATATTATCGCAATCCTACCATGCCATGAACCTCCATGAAGTGTGAAGGGTGCCAAACACCAAGAACCGCAAAGAACCGGCACTTCGACGAAAACCACGACGACGACGCTCCTCGCACCCTGACCCTCGACTCCAAAACCTAGACTTAAACGGCGCTAAACTAAGCTTGGGTCTCTCAACCTCGACAGATACTGTAGGATCCTGATTCAGGAACCAATGGACTAGATGAGCATGTCAAGAGCTTCGAGACACATCTACTAGGATGCCCAGTAGTACCCTTATTCCCTTTTTGTAGTCTTAGGTTCCTTATAAAGTTACCCAATACCAAAAAGAGAGGCCTTTTTATTCTTAGGTTACTGGGTATCCTAGTCTACCTTCCTCGGTCTGGCGCAGGCCATGCTGCGCCAAGTGATCGTCGGGCACAAGGAAATCGGCTCGCAGCAGAAAGAAGGGGGAGGGCAGGTGCACCACTTGAAAGGGCAGGGGACTTAGTAAGTAGGTTATAAGTAGGGTTATAATTGGGGTAACTCCATTTAGGGTACTTATAACAAGGGTCCCAAGTGCCTACATGGTAGAATCTTGGGTTTCTATATAAGGAATGACTATTATGATCTGAGGAAGTATCCCCCATAACAGTACCTGGGACCCTTTGGGGGCATATCCAGAGCATCCTCCAACGCACCCGCTCTCAAAAAATTTACGAAGGCCCTATGTATCTCTTGATTTTTCACCCTCCCGAATACTGACCTGTGATACTACTGTCAAGTCCACATACCGAATCATCGATAGTTAGGACTCTTAGAGTTCCAATGCCCAGGATCCACACTGGAGAACAAATTCGAACAGCTACCCCGCAGACTTCGACCCCACGCCAACACCTGCCTGTGCGTACGCATGGATGTCACTATGCTGTAGGTACGTATGCGCGCATGCTTGGATAGACGTATGCGCCCCGTTCATTGCAGTATAGGTTTCTGGGCAGGGGGTGGATATACCTCATTCTGTTTTGTGCGAATGCACGGAAGTAGGATTGCATATATGAGTAGGGCGAATGTGCGCAGAGCTATACGAGCCAGAACAGCGATTTCAAACATCAGCCAGAAGCCTGCAAATCCTCAACTAGGATGCCCAGTAGTACCCTTATTCCCTTTTTGTAGTCCTAGGTTCCTTATAAAGTTACCCAATACCAAAAAGAGAGGCCTTTTTATTCTTAGGTTACTATCCTAGTCAAAACCCGCAGAACCTTAAACCGAAGCACCAGAACCTGGACCTCAAGCCCCGAAGCCTTATAAGCATAAACCGAAAGAACTCCGACCACAAGGCCCCTCCAGCCAAATCCCTTGTGAAGGAGTCAATGTAGGGCTTGCAAGGTGCTTACCTAAAACCCCCACAAGTCGGTAAAATATTGGCCCAGACCCCCAAAGTATGTAGAATGATGGCCCTTTAAAGGTATTGGGCTATTATTTTACCTACTTTTGGGGGTTTAGGGAACCTAAAAAGTTTCGGGTGCGCAGGTTTTCTAGGTTTAAGCTAGTGCCTTTAGAGCTTTAGGGTTTGAACGGCTGCTAGGCTTTAACTTCGAACGACCGACCCATAGCTATACCCCACATCACTTCAAGTATTCAAGGGCGGTATCTCAGCATTTATTGGCCGACCAGTTCTATGACTGATTAGGACCCCTAAACTAAGAGACAACGTGTCCAGAAAATGCCGGAGTCGATAACCCTTGAACCCGAAACCTTGAACACCGAAAAGCAACCTGTAAAGGAACCCTTGTAGAATCCTGAGGAGGGCCTTGAACAGAAAAGCCCTAAACCCTAAACCCTAGACCCTAGACTCTAAACCCTAAACCCCTTAAACCCTAGACCCTAGACCCTAAACCCTAAACCTGAACAGAACCCGAGAAAAAGGCACACCCCAGAAAGCGTGGACCCTGAACTGCCGCTTCGGTGTTTTAGGGTTTACCCGGGCCCTGCAGAGCCCAGTGCTTTAGGGTTCCCTAGTATGATTCGCGTATATGGGAGTTTCCGAAAATTAGGGGTACTTTATTTTGGGACCCTGATAAAACAACGATCCTACTATTTAGGGTACTATATCAGGGTCCCCTATTTCTGGAAAGCCCCATATAAGTCCGTAAGAAGGTAGGTTCTTCAGGGTCCAGGTAGCGGTTAGGATTTAGGGGTTTCGCATTTGGGGTTGGGGTTTTCGGGTTTAGAGTTAGGGGTATTGTGACAACTGGCTCTCAGCTCACATGGCAGACACTTCAACACAATTGTCCATGTGACAGCTAGCAGTTCCGAGAGCCTTTTGCCAAAAATGGTCCTGCGGTTGAAAGACATTGTTCACAACCCTGTTGCTAAGCAGCGTTGGTCTAGCATTTTCACACGGTCAAATCAGCCGTGTCCCCCAAACTCCTTCGGGCCTGAGCTGTTTTCCATTCGGACGGCCCGCGGGAAGTGGTAGCATGGCTGCCATGAAGGCGAGTTGAAGATATATCCCCCTCCCTAATAGTCTGGTTTAGACACCGTGGTCTTCTATAATTCTTAAGCACCCTATAACCCCAAGCCAAAAACCCTAAACCCAAACCCTAAACCGGAAAGCCCACGGCATCGTGGGAGCCTAAACCTCTACGCCTAATCTCTAAAACCCTGTAACATCCTGAACCTGGAATCCAAAGCGTGATGTCTCCCCGTAGGACCTCACAGCTTGCGAGGCCAGGGTAGATTCCTGAGAGGTTTATCGATGGTGGTGATGATTCGGACGTATATAACTGTTGTGATTGGCATGACAAGAACAAACACAAAGCGTATATGTGCACATACAGACGCCGAAAGAAGGCAGATAGACGGGCCGACCGACAGACACACACTTCGTGAAAAGGGTGTCCATAGCCCTACTTGGCAGTATTTTGCTTGCTCCGCAAGCAAACTTCCTTTGGCCTCAGCCAGCACGTATATGCCTTAATTGCTGAATGAGAAGCTTGCACCCTGTTGGGGATGATATCGTCCCCGACAGAACTAAAACTTTTGATGTTGTTGGCTTCTGAACTCAACGACTAAGAAGCCGATTCCCCAGATTTGGTGAGCTGAAGACTAAAACGGTGCGAATACAAGAGCCTCAATAGCTCTGCCCTCTTATGGCCGATTACCCCCCTCTAATAAACCCTAAACCCTAAACCCTAATAAACCCTAAACAGCTAGTTCAAGTGGCCCTGCAAATCCCTGATCCATACATTCTATGGTAGAGTAGAGGCAGTAGCAGTTTATCAGACCACCCCCCAACCCTAAGACACTACGCTTTTCAGGCGCTCGATAGTAAATCCAAGCCGCCCGAAAACCAGGAAGCCCTTCAGCCTCAAACCTGGACCCGACTAAGTTTCTTCATTTTACATGGTATTATATGGTCTACCTGTAGCCGAAAGGACCTACCTTTTTAAGGAACTATATATAAAAACCATAAAAAGGAACCCAAAAAAGGTAGGTCTTTCCGGCTACAGGTAGGGTTTAGGGCCTCAGGGTTTGGGGTTTGAGGGTTCAGGGTTTAGGGTTTGCAATTCAGGGTTTCGGGTATAAGGTTCCTACACACTTACCCTCAACCGCAGTTTTCACCGACTCCATAAGGTCGCCTGTGCGCAATCTAAACCCTCGCGCCTCGATCCCAAACCAAAGTCGCGGGAGGCTGACGAGGAGGCTCGCGCCAAAATGGCGGCCGGCATGCAAATGCAACAGGCG